CGCCTACTCGTTCACCAAGGGGCGTCGGTCGATGCAGCGGAGGCTGCGCCAAGCACAGGCTGCGCCAAGCAGCAGAGGCAGTCTGTCGACCGCCTCTGCGGAGCCGCGGGGGCGGGAAGTGGCGGCGCGGGGCGGATGCGTCGGCGGAGTGCGCACCGGCGGGAGGCGTGCGAGCACGGCGGCAGGGCCGGGAGGGCGGGGGGCAAGGGTCGGGGGAGCAGGGCGGGCGAGGGGTTTGCACCAGCTCGCGGCGGCAAAACTGGACGAGCTGCCTCTCCCTGGTCGCCTCCTCCTGCTCGGCCTGAGCGCGCAGTGTGTTGCCGTTGATGACGGCGTGCCACGCCTCCTCCTCCGCCTCCTGCTCGGCGCGCTGCGCCCGCAGCCGCACCGCCTCGTCGGCGAGCGCACTCCGCTCGCGCCGCGCCGAGGCGAGCGCCGCCCGCAGCTCGCTCACCTCGAGCTCCCTCGCCGCCTCCTCCGCCGCAAACTCGGCGTCGGAGAGAGCGCCGTGCGACGGGCCGCCGTCGCCCGCCTCGAGCTCCGCGAAGGCGGCCTGGAGCCGGTCCCGCTCCTCGCGCGCATCCCGCAGCCGCGCGTTGAGGTCGCGCACCACGCCGGACGCGCAGTCCTCGCAGAGTGGCACGCCACATGGCAGCGAGGCGCACCGCTCGGCGAGCCCGACAAGCCGGTCCACGGTCTGGAGCTGGTCGTGGATCGACGAGGCCTGCAGCACGCCGCCGCCAACGGGCTGCGACAGGCTCTCGTTCAGGCTTGCGTGCAGCGCGCTCGCGCGGCGCGACTGCGGCAGCACCACGTATGACTCGCCGAGCGGCGCCAGTCCTCGCCCGCCCGGGCCCGGTGATGCCTCTAGCAGCGGCTGGCGACAGCGCTGGCAGTCCATATGCTGCCTCAACACAAGCCGCGCCAAGAAACTTGCGGCACGCGAAGAAAAGTATATGCGAGGCACTTAGCTCCGTGCACTCGACCGCCCTCGCCGAAAAAACCGAAGGGGGCATCTTGACCTCTATCCGACGACTAGCGACGGCGTCGGCGCGATCGTGCCGCAATATTGCGCCGCGCGCGAGGCCCGAGGCGCTGGCGCGACGGGCTTCTGTTCTCCGGACGGGCTGGGCATGGCGTTTGCGTGGGAGCGGTGGGCGCGCGCCCTAGCGCGCGCCGAGGCACAGCCACGCACGGGGAGCAACAACTGCACCGCACGCGATTCCCATACGTCTGCTCGCCACGTCCCCCTCCTCGATGTCGTCGTCCGCGCGTCGCTGTCGGGCTTGCTTGACCCTAGGCTTGACCTTGCTTGAGTGTTGAGCAGCCTTGGCGTGAGACTCCCTAGCGCCCCCTCTACTCGAAAAGAAAGAAAGAAAGAAAACAGACAAGCAAGGGAGCTGAACCAGCTCCTCTTGTAGCTCGATCGGTCACACCGCCATCGCCGTCGGGGAGAGGGGGGACGACAGTCGACACTGCTCTGGCAGCGTGCACCTCGATCCTGTACCGTGTTTGTTATGACCCCCCCCCCCACCCAATGAACACACCAGTGAGGGTGGGCGAGACGATCGAGGGGTCCCGTACCATGCGGAATCGACCCTATCAATCAAGTGTGTATCGCGCGCCTTGCGGGGGGGGCGCGGAAAAGAGGAACCTCTTAGTGCTCAAGTGCTCAAGAAAC